AATGCACAGATGTAATGAGCAGTGGTATAGCTAAATGATCATTTTCCTCCTGGTCTCACACAGCACATTTGTCCAGAGTACATACAACATGCTCTGTGGGTACCTGAGTCTTTTCATTACAGCTGCCCAACACTCCAGCTTCTGATTTCTTACACAATGCTTCTGATCTGGACCAAAACATTTCAAGTAGTTTCTTGTGAGCTACCAATTCTGAAGGAGAAAGACAATCCCAGAAACAACCAAGCAAGGTGTTTCCAATATATGAGACAGGCACTGAAGATGTTGAGTTTAAAAGCTCAGCCAGCTCTCCTGGTCACCTTGCTGAATGCCCACCAGCCTGGGACCCAGCTGCCAATTCCAACAGCCCCAGGCTCCAGGACACAGCCTTGCAGAAGGAAGCCTGGCAGTCTAATCCTGAGCCCAAGAAAGACTTCATTCTTTTGCAGTAACAGAAACAATAATCTCTCAGGATCACTGCATCTTACAGGAGCCAGAAAAAGTAAAAATCATTTGACAGCTTTTGCTTTTTGATGATTCCCAACTGATAAGCAACTCGGAGGTTGGTGGCCCTGCCTGTGACAGGAGGTTAGAGCTTGATGATGCTTGGGGTCCGTTCCAACCCAAGCCATTCTATGATTCAATGAACTTGCAAGGAAATTACCTTTTGATATCATTTATTATTGCCTCTACCTGCACTGGACCATAATTAGCCCCATAGTCCTTTTCCTCTTCTAGTCAGCTGCATGGGGAAAGGAAGACAACTTTCTCACACACTCATGAGGTTTAAGCAGAAGCCAAATGAGCCCCAACACTTTCTTTGCCTGGTTTCCCATTGCCTGGGGGACGGGAGAGCAGGACACAGAACAAACAGAAGCAGCTCAGCTTTTCTCTCAGATTAGCCTTCTTCCACCATAGTGCTGTCAACCAAGAAGACAGCACTACCTGATCAGTGAAGCAGCTGCTTTCTCCTACTTTAGACCAAAACTTAAATCCAAATTGAAATGCAGTCTTCTCTGCATATTATCTAATTTTCCAAGCCCTCCCTTTCCTGAACTGCTCTCCCTGACTTTACCCTGACATCAGTTTGGTTCCTCAGAAAAAGGAAATGAGTTTTAAGACTGTAATGTATCATTAAAACACAAGGTGCTCCATCCATATACTATTAGCAGGAATCTCCATGCAACAGAGCTGTTTATACAAAACAGATTCAACATGTAAATAATTTTTCCAGACTCAATAGGTCTGCGATCGTGCTCATCTGTTTCACATGAAGACCCCATCCTTTCATTTCCAGATGAGATAAGCAAATATCTGTGTTTAAAGAGAAAAACCAACCACGGCAAACAGACACTGGATGTATGCATGTGAAATGGTAAAGCTGAAAAAGTCTTGGAAAAATTCTGTATCTGAAGTACTCCTGAAATATCCTGTAATTCCTACTTCTATTTTACACCTCCCTCTATGGATATAGATACCATTCATGAAATCCAGTCCTAAAGGGACTGGAAAAAGCAGCACAACAGTTTGTGACATTGAAACACAGCTCTCTCTATTGCCCCTCTCTAATTTCAAACTGAGATTTAAAAATTGCATATAAGGCTTCTAAAATAGTGGTATCTTTCCACCCTCAAATATTTTTGTCAGCGTTACAACTGAGCTGCAGAACTTCAGGAGATAAAATGCTTTCCTGTGTAATTGCTACCTTCAAAAATACAAATTAAAACATTTATATTAAAAACAAAACGGGAACTTACATCCCATTTAGCTCACCTGTTTTAGTCCATGCATACCATATAAATTTAGATTACATGTACTACCAGGAATTCTTTGCCCATTTCCCAGTTACTAAACATCCACTCCTCAGAAATAAAAGCTGGCAATAAATAGTCCCTTCTTTATCTGCTCCAGAAACGGACGGGGAAAAATAACACACCAGAACACCACTTATTACTACACTGAACATTTATGATATTATTAATTTGGGTCCAGCAAACTGTGCAGCCTGCTGTAAGGGGGCTGCTTTGCAGGGGGGTTGGACTCGATCTCTGGAGGTCCCTTCCAGCCTGTACAATTCTGTGATACTGTGATTTGGCCCTGTTTCTGATAGGCTACTTTCTTTTTTAAGAAAGAAACAGGCATATTTGCCTGTTGCCTTAAGTAATATTGAGAAAGGCATGGCTATTTTCCTTTGAAAGCAAAAATCTACACACCTTGGGTATTATGCTGTTTTCTGAAGCGCTGGCATCTGCAGGAAAAGACTTCAAACAACTTAATGATTTTGCTATGCCAAAATATTACAGATCGTGGCAGTAAGTCTTGAATGCCTTAGCAGTGGAGCACTCACAATGGTGCTGTTCATTTATGCATAACAGGTACAGCTCTCAGGTTCATCCAGCAACCTTAAACCAGGATGTTTACGCACTGAATCAGTAAGTTCACAAATGCTACCATCTCACACAGAAAAAAAAGGTTCACTTACTACTGGTTATACTGCACAAAAGGCAGCGCAGGGAGGGTGCTAACACTTTGTTTTCTGTCTTTTTGAGCAAGGCAGATTCCATCCAAACATATCTGCTGCAAGTACTCCATCAAAGCTGCCATCCCCATCGTTGTGGACCAGGCAGTACTATCCAAAATGACAGGACGCTCTGCAGAGCTGTTCAGAGTAACAGCAGTGACTTCCTGAGTTCAAGAAGCAGCTGCCAAGGACACTGCTCAGAGGATTCAATAAAGATGGAAGACGTGTTTAAAGTTGTGGCAAGGTGAAAAAGAGCTTTCATTTTTATAAACGAAGACCTCCAGAATAACAGAGGAAGACTGGTTTGAAGACTGGTTTCCCTGAGGAGAACTTGAAAGACATCACATGTTTCAAGAGAAGAGCCAGGTTCTTGCACCAACCTCTGGGAGATAACAGACATATCAGCAATGCTGCTTGTGAGACTGCATTTTCTAAATACTTTTTTCTTTATTGTAGACACTGAATCACTGGAACGCATGCCTCATTATTCAGTCTCAGTTTAGTAACGTATTTACCAGATACTCCATAAAGAAGTAGAACCAATGGCAATTGTGCTGTGGCTTAAGCACCCAGATAATATATCATTTCTCAGAGGATTAAGAAAAAGAAAAGAAACAAGAAAGGGAAACAAACAAACAAACAAACAACAAAACTCAGAGAGAGAATAGGGGGGAAAAAAAAGCATTATAAAGAAAAAAAGAAGAGAGTCCTGTGGTCTGTTTGGAGCTATAAGTCCTGATTCAGCTTTGTCAGCAACACCAACAGAGCCTTCCAGAGGGCTGTATGGGATTAAATTTTCAAAAGCACTTAGAAGGTTCAGGAGCATGTCTCATTGTTAAAAGTGATTTAGAATAATGAGCTTAAGCATTGCTAAATGTACTGCTTTGTGCCCTGTCTTGTCCAGTCCAGTCAGGGAGAGGGCTCTCCCAAGCCCCTGGCAGGATTAGATGAGTGGTTTGAAATCCTGAAACCCTGTTTTCACAGCTTTCTGATGAAGGGGACTGGACCTGACCAGGATGAACAGAACAAGATGTGTGTTAACCCAGAAGGTCAGCATAAGACATTGGTGGAGCAAGCTTGTAATGACAGGCCAGGCTATGAAAATGAGCATGTTTTCTGCTGCTCATGGCACAATTAAGAAGCAGACATTGAAAAAAACAGTACATTCTGATTCACCAGAGTCTATCTGCCTAAGTTCCATGTCCTAAGTACTGGATACATTTTTAAAGACAGACAGGGGCATCTTTAACAGCAAACCAGACTTGATAGCATCACACAGCTTCCCTATGCCACACTCATTTCTTGTGCTCTAGTCTGTGTTTTCTTTCTTATCTCAGTGGTGTGGGCTTTTTTGTGGAGAAGAGGGTAAGGCACACACAGTACTTATCAAAGAAATTCATTAAGAGTGTTTTATTCTATTTCCACTTATGCCAGGGAAGAATTGTTTTTAAGAACTCATAGGTGCTATGCTATTCTTGACCTAAATTCTTCTATGTTATTCCTGCATTCTGGAAATAGCTTCAAAGTATCTGAAATTTTGAACATGGAAAACAAAAATGGATAACTGTCTACTCAGCAGCTGCAGCATTCATTTTCTGAAAATGAAGTTGTCAGATTTTCTAACGTTTTATGTTTACTACTGACATTGATTTTCTGCACTACAGAAGTGGGGACTTGAGTAGGAAACAGGCATTTCGTGTCACTGAGAGTCAGCGTCTTGCACGGAAGGCTGCAGTAGGCAGGCTGCATTAGCTAGATGGTTCTGCTGAAACAGTTAGCACTGAAGAAGCCTTTACTTTAAGCTATTAAGCCATAATTTTTAAAAATAGAAGTTGACATTTTCACATCCTCTATCTAGTTCTGCAGGCTAGCCTTGGTACTCATATAAAACCAACACAACAAGGGGTTTAAACACACTCCATGTTTCTAAAACATGATCTGTATTCTATTGTAAGTATTGAATTGTGATGATTATCTTACATTAATAAACAAATGACTGGTCCGCTTTTCCAGGATAGCGGAAAAAGCTTTGTACAACCTGTGCCAAGCCAATCAGCCCATGCATGTGGCCAACAAGGGGGCTTTAGCATTAGGTTCTACCAGCTCAAGCTCTTTGTTGGACCAAAATCTCACTTTTTACCAAGCCAAAGCTGCATGTTAGTCAATAAAAATATAGTAGCAACAAAGGGCTAAGTAAGAAATGAGTATAGACTCTGACTTCTGGATGAACAGTAGTACCATATAGTTTTACTGTCATTACAATTCCAAACCACTGTGCTATCTGTTGCTGACACTCATCTCACTACAAGTTTCCTAAGAAACAAATTTAGGAGCATATATGCATTAATAATAATGCAGCCTCGCTTAAGTTTGGGTTTGGATGATGAATAAGCACTGTCCCTCAATTTGCTTACATTCACCAAACCTGTTACTAAAGCAAATCCAGAGCATAGGGGAAAGAATGAAAGATGCTGCCCATTCTTCATTCACAGCACACATTTGCCTTCACTGAGCAATCCAGGGAACATCAGTGTCTCTGAAAATATGTTTTCTTTTTTCTCAGCTTTAAGTGGATGGCAGTTATGATAAAACCTGTCAGGGTTGCTGCTGCACCACAAACCAAATAGGCAATTCCCAGGAATGGGTTACTTCCTCCACTCCATACCATGGTTGAAAGAATCACGTACTTCTTCCCCTTGAATTTGGTAACAGGGAAGTCTGACAGAGGGATGTTAAGGATTCACTAACAAAGTTTACACTGCCTCCAGGAGAAAATGTAGTGTTCAAAATCCTTCTCAAGGCACAAAGAGGCTGGAGATCTGTACTTGCTGCAAAAATTCCTTTAAATGGTCTGTGAAGTCTCAGCTATCATAGTCAGAAAACAAAACAAAAACAACAACACCAGTAGCAGTTCCAAATTATTTTGGATACAGTCTTGGCATAATTCTGGAAATTCTGGGATTTGTAACTAAAAATTTCAGATTCATACTGTATGTAATGGCTACTGAGCTAACTTGATATGATCCATAATATTTTTAAGCAGCAAACAAAACTCACTTGAAAGTGAACCATTTGGGAAGCTTACCATGATGACACTCTACATATTCTCCGTGAGGACTAGTGTTCACCTTTAATTTAATATGCTCTCTACCCACATGAAGCCTTTCAGTGGAGCTATAATGTTTAAAATCATAACTGCTTTAGTTCAGATTGAGGAGAAATTTAGAGTCACCACGATGTAATTCCTGTTAACATGAGTTAAAATGAGGCCTTTAGTCAGCAAATTTCACACTGTTTGGTGTGTGAGCGCTTTTTTTTTTTTTTTTTTTTTACCAGCACAAAAATTCCTATCAGCCCATGGCTGAAATCCACCAGAGGGCTCTGCTGATACAGGCATCCCACACAGCTCTCACTGGCAGGGTTACCTCTGGCACTTCTGTGCCCGAGTCATGGTGACTGCACAGCTGACCAGGCCAATACTGAATATTTTAGCCACCTCTTCAGATTTTCATCGTACAGATTTATCCTTTCTGTAAAACCTACTACCTCCCCACAGAAATCAAATCCAAAGCCGGGTGCTGCCATGACTAACAAGTCTTCATTTCATCTGCCCAGGCTAGAGAAACTCCACCCTAATAGTCATCACCCTTACAGTCAGGTCTTTTCACGATGATTTAGTTTTGAGTGTTTTGATTGTTTTCTTTGCCATTTTGCTATAGAAATCCCATCCACATTGCAACCACTTAGTAGTTAAGGATTGCCTTGGATACTATGAAAGGATACTGTAGGAAATATGGAAAGTATAATTCCCTGCTGGGAGGCCATCAGTAAACTGCCCTTTCCGGCTGATACGACGATAAAGATTTTTGAATGTAGCAAAGGCTGATACTCGCATCCAGATAATGAAGTCATCATTTATATATCCATTATTCTTTTCATCTTCCACATCTAACAAATACGCTGGTTTATGCCAGTAAGGAGGTCTTGCTGTTCCTAGTGAAAAAGAAAAAAAACCAGGAAAGACATACTGTCAGGAAAAACAGGGTCAGTTACTAACTTTGCCTGTTCATAACTAACACAGAATACGAGAGAAGGAAGAGAGACAAGACTGTCCAATACCACAAAATTATATATGTTTGATAACACTTTGCATCCATGGATCTCAACGCACCTCAAACTTGAATAAACAGCCTACGATATTTAGAATTTGCCATATGAAAACTACTTAGATAACTCATTCTCCCTGAAGCAGGAAGATGTGTCATACCTATTGTATCCAGCACAGCAATGTCCTGATCCAGAACATGGTGCTTTTAATCCTACTTCAATATCACAGAATTGTAGGGGCTGGAAGGGACCTCCAGAGATTATTGAGCCCAATCCCCCTGCAAAGCAGCCTCCCTACAACAGGCTGCACAGGTAGGTGTCCAGGCAGGTCTTGAATATCTCCAGAGGAGAATCCACAATCCCCCTGGGCAGCCTGTAATATGGTTTAATCTAAACAAGGACATAGCCCTAGAAAACAATTGTTGGAAGTAACTACTCAAGATATAAGTCTCACTTGGCTCACAATTACCTGCTTTCTGCAAAGGCAGGAAGAAGGGAAACATGACGTGTGCTTTTCCTTCTTAGATGTTTTCAGTAGAAAATACTGAGATTGCATCCTTGCCTTCTCTGAACAGACTGTTTCTTACAAAACCACTTTCTCCCAGTTTTGATGGTCAGTGGAAAAAGAAAGGAACAATTTGGCTAAATCTGGCTTTTGCTCTCATTTACCCTCCAATGCTGATTCTACTACCAGCTATTTCTCACAGGGCTATTCCCTTTTCAGAATGGGAAAGCTCTGCACAGAGAGGGAGAGAGGAAAGCTGATAGCCACTGAAAAATAAGGAACGCTAGTAGAGCCATTCTTACCTGCAAACGCAGCAGAGAGATTGTGCGAATCTGGATTGCGAAATTTCACATTTTTATCTGTCCACCAACTGTTTCCAGTCTTCAGCAGTGGTACTTGAATAACAGATGAGTTAAAATTGTAGAAAAGATCAATAGTATCTGCAGGGAATACAGGAGGCAACACATCTGAGTGAAAGACGGTTTTTCTAATGACCAGCATGACTAACAAAACAAACACAATGAAACACCTTTCAGCTGAATAGAAAAAATAATAATCATAGAATGACTTAGGCTGGAAAGGACCTTAGAGATCATTTGGTTCCATTTGTCTCTTCTCACTACATCTCCAGCTGTTTGTTATTAGTTTATTAGCAGGGCTTGCAGTTTGCTCAGCTCTTCTTTTTACTCAGCTGTTCCCTTACCTGCTAGCTTGGGTTAAAAACTGTTCTTATGGCAGGAAATAAGCCTCTGTTACAGCAGAGGGATAGAACTGAGCAAGCAGAGTGATATTTCAGACATCACCTGCCTCTCCCACACCACCAGCAACTGGCACCACACTGTGCACTAAGGACTGATATAAAGGCAGGCTCTGAAAGATTTACTCCTAGCACTTTAAAGTCTTATTATCCCTAACTCTCTGCAGAATTCTGTCCCAGTAGCCAGGACTTCTGATCCACAGGGGCTACAGAGTTAGCTCTGCTTGCCTAGGTCTGAGCCCCCCCAGTAGCTCAGATTTCCAGAGGACCAGGTGTGCACACAGGTGGATCTTGAATTTCTACAGCTGTCCTTCACAACTCCACTGGTGTAGGCGGTTCAGCTACATGCAGGTAGCTGCTGCACTGCCAAAAACAGATGGGGGGAACACATAAAAAGGGATGAATGGTGGAAGGAGAAGTCCATAGAAGTGTTTTTGCCTTCCTTCTTCCCAGAGAAATCCAATCTGAAATCTAGTCGTTGTGGCTAGGAGCTGTCCTCTAGATTTCAGTCTAAATGTATTAATATTGTCTATTCAGTCTAAAATGTATTAATTAGGGCAGATTATGCCCTCCAGGAAAGTGTATACAAGATCAAACCAATTCGTGGAAGACTATGGATGCTCCCAGCATTCAAAGAACAGAATGCAAACATACAGAACCAATGTCAAGAGCACATTGCTTCCTTCTAAGCATTCTGCTGCAGGAAGTTAGAGTTTGAGTTCTCCTGATGTTTTAGCAGGGAAGTATGCTGTTTCTACTGTGTATACCATTGTTCCCTGTTTCATCAAGACTCAGTTCCCCAGGCCTATTACAGAATCACATTGAAGAGTGAAGGAAGCAGAGCACATATTCACCACAGTACCAGTGTCAAACAAAACTTCTTGTAGGAGAACGACAGTTACCTTGCAATATCAGGACTCAGCTGGACTGGGACAACATCACAGTTTAAAGTTGAAATTAGGAAAACAGACGTGGAAGGTACTTACCATTGAACATGCTGTTGGCAATAGCACCGCATGGAGCCATTGGTGTTCCGTTTTTGTAAGCAGCAAAGGGTGCACAGTAGGTGTTCTGAACCTGCAGAACAATCAGACAAAAAAACTGTGGGGTTTTCGTTTGCTGGTTTCCTCCCACTGTTTCTTCTGAAAAGTCAGTGAGTAATTAGGTCTCTAGTACTTTCTGGTCACATTCAAGTTAGATCTCCATATAGTCAAAGACACACCTGGTAAAAATACTGATCTCATAATAGAAAGAAAAAAAACTTATATCTACATTTCGACCCAACAGTTGTTCATCACTTCTTGATAGCACGTATCGACGGTGATTTTGATAGAAGTTTTGCAGGCCATAGTACATAAAAACATCACCCTAGAATTCAAGAATACAGCTCTTCAATAAGGAGAACTGAAGTAGACAAAAAATCCTATTAACTACTAAAAAAGAAAGTGAAAGAGAGAATAGTTCATACTCACTTCTTGGTAACTACATTCTAACTAATTACTCCAGTGGATGCTGGTTATTATCTATTCTTTACCCTCTTAGTTGAAAGCTTATTATTTGGCACGAAATTAAACATACTTTAAAACAGAAAATGAAACCTAAAATGAAAAGGCATCATCAGTATTTTACTCAAGATGGTAATGACTGGTCCTGAAACTACAATGAGTATGAAATACTGAATGGAGTCAGATGCCTATTTTCTACAAAAGGAAGATGCTGAAACAACTTCAAAAAGGAGCCAACAGCCTTAATTCCTGCAGACTTTTTAAAAAAATAAGACTGACTCTACTCAATTATCTAAGTCCCTTGGAAAACTTAGTCCTGTTATTAAACAGAGAATGTTAAGCAGGCAAATATAAGCAACAAAGAGGTTTAGTAATCTATTCACAGAATCACAGAATCGGCAGGGTTGGAAGGGACCTCAAGGATCATGAATCTCCAACCCCACTGCCACATGCAGGGCCACCAACCTCCTCATTTAATGCTAGACCAGGCTGCCCAGGGCCCCATCCAACCTGGCCTTGAACACTTCCAGGGACGAGGCATCTACAGCCTCTCTGGGCAGCTGTTCCAGTACCTCACCACTCTCTCTGTAAAGAACTTCCCCCTGACGTCCAACCTAAATCTTCCCTCCCTCAACTTAAAACCATTTCCCCTCATCCTGCTGTTATCTACCCTTTCAAAGAGTTGATTCCCCTCCCCTCTGTAGGTTCCCTTTAGGTATTGAAATGCTGCAATGAGGTCACCCCGCAGCCTTCTTTTCTCCAGGCTGAACAAGCCCAGCTCCCTCAGCCTGTCTTCACAGGGGAGGTGCTCCAGTCCCCTGATCATCTTTGTGGCCCTCCTCTGGACCCTCTCCAACAGCTCCCTGTCTTTTTTGTACTGGGGACTCCACACTTGGACGCAGTATTCCAGATGGGGCCTCACAAGAGCAGAGTAGAGGGGAACAGTCACCTCCCTGTCTCTGTCCTCTTTTGATGGAGCCCAGGATGCCATTTGTCTTCTGAGCCGTAAGGGCACACTGCTGGCTCACATTAAGTTTTTCATCTGTCAAGACCCCCAGGTCCTTCTCCACAGGGCTGCTCTCAAGGACCGCTCCTTCCAGTCTGTATGGATGCCTGGGATTCCTCCGGCCCAAGTGCAAAACTCTTAACTTTGCCGTGTTGAACCTCATCAGGTTCACCCGGGCCCACCTTTCTAGCCTCTCGAGGTCCCTCTGAATGGCCTCACGAGGTCCCTCCTTCCTTCAACCGTGTCAACCACACCACTCAGTTTGGTGTCATCAGCAAACTTGCTGAGGGTGCACTCGATTCCGTCATCGATGTCATTGATAAAGATGTTACAGAGCACCGGTCCCAAGACAAACCTCTGGGGGACGCCACTCGTTACCGGCCTCCACCTGGACATAGAGCCATTGATGACCACCCTCTGTCTGTGGCCTTTCAACCAGTTTCTTATCCATCGGTGGTCTACCCATCAAACTCACATCCCTTCAATTTGGAGATAAAGATGTGGTAGCGGACCATGTCAACGGCCTTGCTCAGGAGTGATTCAAAAATCATTAACAAGTTACATAAACTTCTGATGTCAAACGTAACTATATCTGAAGGATTACTCAGAGCACGTTAACAACCTCTTTAATACTGAAGCACCATAAAGAAACTTTATAATTTAATCACACTATAATCTGAAGGGTTCATCTATACAGTATAAGTGTAAGACCCCCCTCTGAAGAATGAGGCATTTTAGCAGCCTTGGCAACACAACTAGCAGTTCAAGACAGGAAATGAAGGACCCTTCTCCCCAGTGAAATTGCAGAATGCCACTGCTAGACTTGAATTGTTTCAAGGACCCTGGAGATCAACAGTGTAATCCCTGTCAAAAGGACTGCAATGGTTTACTTATGACAGGTGGTCAAAGTTTCAGATTTCCTTCTCATTTAAGAGTTTAGCAGTACAGTAACAACTCCAGGCCAAGGACTAGAGTTCTCTACTGACTCGGGGGGAGAAATCACCTCCACAGGCAAACACCACTCCCTCCATCCCCACTTTCTCCTTGAAGATCTCCCATCCAAGGGCAGAGGGAGCCTGATCTGGATTATTTTTAAACACAAGCCCCAAACCAATAGCAAATACAAAATAGTAAAATTCTGAGTATTTCACATCCCTAAAAGTAAAAAGAAAATTCAGACAGGTGCTCTACAGAACAAATTTAGTATATTTTATCATGCACAGACATAACTATCAGGAGGTACTAAGCAACTTAGCTGGTTTCCCATATCCACTTACCAGCATATCTTCTGCTAGCGTGAAATTAATAGAACAGAGGCATTCATTGTTCCAATTAGAGGAGTTTTCACGAAGTTTTGAACAATTTGAGCATTTATCTGAATAATCAACCTGTCAGAGAAGTGAACAAGCAGAGACATTGCATTAGAGGACATGAACACAGGAAAAGATTAGTGTTTTAGCTACAAGACCTCTCAGAGCAGTTCTAAGTGACCCTGGATTGCCAACAAAACTGTTAAAATCAACAGAGGTGTAGAGAATCAGGACTTGACCTCAATGGAACATTCACAAATGTTATCCCTACTTAAAAGCTGCTTTAGAGTTTTTTGATTGTTGCAGAACCTCCAAACTTGCTACTCAGCAAAGGAGTGCTGACAGACAAGCACCTTTGCAGCTTGGTCTGTCTGTAATATTTTGCCCAAGAAAATATTTATCTCCTAGTACCAAACACCAGGAGGAGGAGATAATGACATTTAGATATTACCACCCAGTGGTAATTATTTCTCAGTTACCCAGTCAGAGCTTGGCTGTCATCAGTGACCATCTTTCTGAGAACTTTCACAGGAATACTGGCTGCTGGATGCATGCAAGACATAAAGCCAATGCTATCATTTCTATCCAGGCACACAAATTCAATGCTTTTCCTCTCCCTCTCCCCAAATACAGACCATTTCTTTCTTATCATAATGCCAAACACCCCACTCCAAACAGACCTGGATTTCTCTGACGCTGTTTGCAGCTACTACGAGGGAGACTCCCACAGAAAGGCAAAATGCTCCTGTGAGAAAGAAAGTGGAGAGCACAGATGCAATGGTAAGTCGGGGCTTCCACGCCGGTAGTTTCTGTTGTTTGAATGCACTGTTATCTGGACACCTGGAAGGACGTGTTCCTGCTTCTTGTGGAGCAGAACTCTTCTTATTCTTCATATTCTTCTTGGTGAGAGGAAGAAACAATATACTTGTGCTGGACGATGTTTAAGCTGAGATACAGTCTTTACTGTTGGGAAACTGTACTGCTTGTTCAGATCTGCATTATGACTAGGAATTACTTATTAACTAGATCTCTCTCTTCCTCCTTTTCTACATTTGATTGCCACGATCAGCTTGTACCAATCAGATGATTGTGTACTTTGGTCAGTACGTCCAGATCATGCTTCCTGGAAAAGCTTACATATTTATTCCTGCCCCACAGTTCAATAGCATTTGTTATGTCTTATTCATTTGTATGGATACTGTCAGCTATACTAGAATTTGTGTAATCTCAGATTCATCATTTCTTCTCCCTTCACTTCTATAGTTGCCCAGCTAACAAACATGGGATAAAACAAAAGACCTATTCCAGTCCACTGGATGCCACTGAGGAGGACTGGAGGGGCTGAGAGTGCTGGGTATACAACACTACTTTGTAAAACCAAATAAACTTTCTTAACCTGCATTCATTGCTTTTGATTAAGAAGCAATTTAAAGTTCTAAAATGTTGTGTATTGCTTAGCACAATAGGGTAATTAATTCTAAAAATGTCTCATTTGGATTCTTCCAAGATGCCGATGATTTGCCCACCTCTATTCATCTTCTTTTTGCATGCAAAATAAATAAATAACTAAAAGCACCCTTCTACTCACAATTACTGAAGAATCACCCATAGATAAGCTCTTTTCAACTCCAATGGACAAAAAGTAGAATATTTTTTGAATACTTCACCAGTTTAATCACAAATTCTCAGTTTGCTAGACGTATATTTTAAACATAATTTATCATGTAATAACAAAAAAATAGAATTTGGCCAGCTGTAAAACAGATGAGAGAAAAATACTTTTTTGCCAAATTACTGAAATTCAGACATTTCCAAAACTATTTTAAGGCAAGAACTAGCTTACCACTCCTGTGAGAGAAAGAGGTAACTGAGAATTGAGTTGTAGGAAGACTTTCACACTCACTTTTGCTCTTAAAAATGGCATGTAGTAGTAAATCTTGTGGGTGAAAGCAATATACACTTAACTTTGCTTTTGCATTGCCTGTAATAAAAGACTACAAATAAAAAAGTACAAATAAAACTTCTGTTTTTATTATTAAAAGGAACCTCAGAATAAAGTTGCACAGAACATTCTTTCTGCATCAATTATCTCTGAAAAATCAAAATTCTTAATTTAATCACCACTGACCACTTGCAGACAGGATAGAAGTAAAATCTGCCTATAAACCACTTCCTTGTGGGTAAAACTATTAAAAGAGTCCCAGCTTCATAGATCCCTCTCTGCACAGCTTTATAATCCTCATCTCCAGCAGGTCGATTGTTTCTTTCTTTATCTGAGGAAAACAAAATACAAAGAAAGCATCAAAGGTTACTGGTAATGCTTTAGCTAAACAGCATGATTTTATTTATTTACTCAACTATCTTACTATAGAACTAGAAATTAAAGGAGAAGTTCCCACACAAGGCCCTTAGCTCTATAATGGTTCAATTTTCCTAGAATCACAGAATATATTGATTTGGAAGGTACCCAACGAGGATCACTGACTCCAACTCTCGGCCCCACACAGCATCACTCAAAATCCAAACCCAATGTCTGAGTGCTGTCCAAAAGCTCCCAGAACTCAGTCAGCTCAGTGCTGTGCCCACTGCCCTGAGCAGCCCGTTCCATGCCCACTGTGGTGCAGACCCTGTCCCTCACCCCCAGCTGCCCTCCCCTGACAGCTCCATGCCATTCCCTCGGGCCCTGTCGATGTCACACAGAGCAGAGCTCAGCGCTGCCCTCCGCTCCCCTCATGAGGGGCTGTAGGCTGCCATGGGCCTCTCCTCTAATGTTTGCTCTGCAGTCCTTAGGTACAATTACAGCTCATCAAACATAGCTACACAGTAATTGGCACAGTTGATTAAACTTGCCAGAGCAAGAGATCCACCCTGGACTGCAAGATTTCTGTAGGATTTTACAGTGTATCAACCATTATCAACGAGTCCAAAGGTAGTCCTGCACTGTAACAGCCACACAATGCCTGTGGCTGAGACTCCTGAATGAAACTGAGCATTCAGGTGTAACTAAGCCACATGCAAAGTGCTTTAGTTTATAACATGGATATGATTGTACCTTACTGCTTATCTAAAGATCAAAGACAAATGTAAACAAGGGTAAGTACAGATGACATATTTCAGCAGGAACTGAAGATTTGCTCAGCATGGCAAGCATAGAATTTCCTTACAGCTTCATTTTCCCTGCTCTTGTGAATAACTTATTTCTGAGCTTTTCCTCAGGTTTATATCCTGTGCACAAGAATGTGCGATGTAAGAAAGTCTAACTAGACTATATTTCCTACAAACCCTTTTGCTTTAATAAAACCTGAAACTTGTTCAGTGCTTACATTGTTTCTAGAAGGAAATAATAAACAGTTAAGCAAAATATTTGAAAAACTATATGTGAATCTTACAAAAAAGTGATTTGAAGAGTTGAGACAGATCTGTATTGTCATCAACAGCTATAGAAAAAAACTCCAAAGAGAAAAGTTTGTCCTTTGGTCAGACTTGAAATTGCACCATCAATTTTTATGTAAACCCTTACATTGTAGTTTAATTCAAGCTCATAAAAACAGAGCCTGATAAACTCATTCACTTGACCTTTGGTTTCTTTGTGAGATTACTTCCTTCTCTCCTCTGCTTAGGATGAATGTAGTGGAAGACAGAAAAACAGAAAAAAGAATCCAACAGCATTAATGAATGAGATGTAGAGGCAACTGAAAGAGCACTGGTCATCCATTCAGTGAATACAATGGGATACAGGACCGTCATGGGGAAGAATTCATGTATTTCTAAATATATATATACACACATTTCAGGATACAACACTCTATATATTATTCTCCACTGAAGATGAGATGAGGACAGGAACAGCAAATAGTTTGCACCTTCAAAATGAAGCAATGGATTTTCCCATGAGTAGACAAGATGTACATATTCTTCCAGCTGTTCCTGTTTCTGCACATTTCTTTACGCAGACAAGTATAACTACATGAAAATTTAGCACTGTAACACCTTAAACATATAAAGAAATTACTGACAAAACAAGGTTTGCAATTTTGCCTCCACAACTGATTTAAAATAAAGAAAAATAGAGCATTGATTTTTTTCAGTTTTCATGCTGGTGGCACAAAAAAATCATCTATTCTCTGAGAAAACGTATGATTATTATTATCATGTATTTGACAATTTTTCGTAAAGATAAAAGAGTAAGATGCACTGCTTATTAAGACTGCACTTTGTATTTTAAGTTTGCAAGCTGCTAAACATACCACTGTCTTCTACTGCATTAAGATGCACTATTTCAAAAACATTACCTGGATATTTTTTGTTACTGATATTTCTTAAAAATAACTTTCAGGAATCTACATGCTGTCTCCAGGAGGAAAAAAAAAGGCTGTAAGGTATTCCATTTACACTGCCCAACATGCCAAAAATCCGTGTATTAACTGAGTCAAGGACAGATCTGAAGACTTTGCTGTAATCACATTTACTATTCTGTATCCAAATATAAAGGACCTATCCTTAGGTTAACACTATATCCAAAAGTGTAATATTCTTTCTTACTTGGTTTTATCTGAAACTAAGCCTAAGTATTGACTTCTATAATTTCATTGATGGTCATTTTCCCTTAACAAAATAGAGCCAAAGTCAATTTGACCTGTATTCCTAGGCAGACATGCCAAAATGCTGTGATGCCTCCCACAGAGAGCTCAACAAGATGTTTCAAATTTGCAATATCCCCAAATCAAATGTTAATATATTATATAAATAAATAAATATATAATATTTATTTCTTTTTCAATGGATCACCTGTAGGCTACTGTGCATATATATTTATTTCAGCTGACTTGCCAAAATCTGTCCCAATGCCACCAGCATTTGTACCACTATCCTGAGGTAATATGCCTGTGAATGCAGGTTCTCTGGTGTTTAAAAACTTATAGATAAGTTTTAGCACTGTACAAAAGATTCTCAAGTATTTACCACAAGAGGGAGCCTCCTTGCCTCAGTATGCAAAGCTGTTCTTTTCCCTGCTTCATTTCTGCAGTGTGTTTTCTGCAGGGTGCTTTATCCAAGATTATTAGAAAGTTGCATCTTCGTGTGTGGGGGACTATAAAATACAGCACATCCAAAGATATAGGCAGGTGCAGAGTAGGAGTAATGACTGACCATTAATTTCACTTGTGAAACAGCTTCCTATCTACATGTAAGGAAGTCTTTTCCCACTATAGAATGCATACGAGCCTGTGAAAACGTGTAGTGAAATGGGAGCTCTGCAGCAGGGTCTAGAGGAATCCACCTCTTTCTGCTGGACAGATAGCAGCTGATGGCCCACAGCATATGGTAAGCATATCTTGTCATAGCAATTAATGTGGAAGTTGGATTACAGAATTAAAAAGCATGGGGAGCTATCTTAAAAAACAGTCTACAAATAATGGATGGTTCTACATAGTTTGTAACCTACCTTTTTCCAGAAAAACAAAAAAAAAAAAAAGAAAAAAAGAAAACTAACTGTACAAAGTCATTTTACTCTCAGAGACCAATAAATGCCATCCAAAGCTGTATTTAGTTTTTGAGGAAACTTTTTTGCATGAAGTCCTCTTACTGAGAGAATTTCCCAGGAACAGGCAGAACAACTATTTAGCATAAACAGCAGAAATTCACAGCACAGCTGTATTAGTCACAGCTGTGACCTGTAACAACAACAACAATAAAGGAAACTAACTTCCTCAAGAGGTAACTTTGAGATCTGAGAGTACAGATTTTCAAGTGTAACAGTGACTTGTTTTTGCATTCCTAGACTGCTAAGTCTGCTTTACAGAAATAAATCCTTACTGACCAATGCACTAGAATCAAAAGCACTGAGTACACAGAATATTATATATACAGGTGCTCCTACAATACCTCAGGGATATCCATCATTCTCCTTAGTTTCTGATCTCTCCAGTTCCAATCCAGAATAATATATTTTGTGGAGTTCAAACATAGGCCATCTAAAAAAGACAACACAACATGTGCTTATCAAAATTATTTTTTGTGTTTTACATCTTTTGCTGTCGGTTCCCAAAGAAACTAATCTTTGAACACTACATTTGTGCTTGGAGAACTAATGCAGTGACACCGCAAACTCCTTTAACCACATAATCCTGTGCCTTTTTGAAAGATAAACACAAAAGCAGAACTGTTGCCAGGCTTGTCAGGAGCTAACATCCTGCCAGCACATAATTCCTCAAGCTTCCTCTTGATGAAACCACAAGAGTTGAATTTCCACAGCTTATGAGGAGCTGGTAAGTTACAAGGACCTTAGCTTGAAAAATCTTATTAATGTGAATTGATGGTATTTAGGAATTTACAGGACCAAGTGCTATGCAAATGTGAGTCAGGTCAGTGGTGCTGTTGAAGGATTCCTTTATTCTCCAAACAAATTCTGGTGAAGGAAGAAGGTCCTTTCTGAACCCAGCCTCCAGTAGTTCTCCTATTTTTCCCTGGTCTTCTACATGATGTCCACAGTTTTTCATATCGCTTTTCCTCCTCTCCATTTTAGTGCCCTAGCATTGCAACACTAAGTTGTCAAAATTGATTAGACACCTTGTGTCCCTACATGAGCTACATGGTAATATGCCGATGTGTTGAACAGCAACAATTTAATGTTGGTGAAGGACACGGCAAAAAAAAAAAAAAAAAATGCTATTCCTGTACCCTTTTGGAAGGAGCTGTAGAGTTCAAATCTACAGACAGACCCTAACCAAGAAACCATAGCTGGGGAAAGGCAGTGCTTAGAAAGAGAAATGGAAAGAACTGCCTTATCTTGTCATTTTTGTTTGTTTTAATTTGTGCATGTGGTGTCTATTGAGTAAGTAAAACTGGAAAGAGGAAAGGACATTCATATATTTCATTTAATCATACACAAATCATAACTAAAATCAGCAAGCAGATCTTGTCCAGCCCATACAAGAATCTATGCTGAGCTCAGAGTGACATATGATACGACGACTTCTGCTATTATTTCATTTTGATTTACTTGCAGTGTTTGGTTTCCTGGAACTTTAAATCTTACACCATGGTTTTCCAATCATTTTCAAGTCAGCATAAATCAGTATTCCTGCCAAAGGAGGAAGTCCTCCACCTTAGCCTGTTCATTACCTGATTTTGTGTGCATGCTGGTTTTGTTTTAATTGGGATCAGTTCTAATTGGGATCAGGTCACTGAGCTGCCAAACATACCGTTGTGGTAGAACAAGAGACAGGATGGGGTGGCTAAGTGGGTCCTGATTGTGTGAGAGGCATTACTTTGTCCTTCTCTTGTAACACTGATTTATTCCAGCTTAAAGTGTTTATTAAATCAACTGTTATTAACTGACCTCATTCTGACTGACATAGTAGAAGAGGAAAAGCAAAACTGCAGAGCTTAGTTCCTAAATCCATGGACTCACACCAACCTAAGCCCTTCAAAAGCTAAATCTCACTTCCTGTGAGATCAAGTGTAGGATACCTGTTGATAAAATCCTCCTTTTTCTCCTACCTTGCTCCACCAGTGCTTTTATCCTCCCAGGAGTTCCAACTCCAATGTGGAACACACCTTTCTCCAACATATTCATCTGTTCTTTTATCTGATTTGAAGAAAGACAAACCACAGTGAAACCACAATTGTTTCAAATTTCTTCTCAAAGAGCACTTCCAGGCTGGAAATAAATTCAAGATTATGCAGTATCTCTTTCTAGACTACTATCAAGTAACAAATGCTATTCATTTATCAAGCTGTCAAGCTGATCTTCTGGGGAAAGCATAATAGTCAGCTGGGCATTACACTCCTCTAGAATATTTTCAGCTTTGAATAATGCAATGGCACCAACTATTTCTGGAAGTGAGAACAGTAGGTTTTCTTCTGTATTTGAACAAATTCTCTGTAAATATTTGGAAAACTGACAAATCTGAGTTAGCTCAAAACTCCCTGAAGATGATGACATCGGAAAAAACGAAATAAAGCAAGTGACATTTGTGTTTGACAGTATTTATATCAAAGGCTAAATTTCCACTTATTATTCCTACAATTTGCGCTTGCCAGCACGTGTGAATACTGGATAACTAGACAATCTCACCAGCATGTGCAAATGTGGATGCTTCTACAAATGCGTGAGTCTTTGATTTAAACAGGCAAAATAACTTTGAATGAGCATCTCACAGTAATGTGGAATATCTTTCACACATAGCAAATGAATAAACATTTATACTCTGCATAGGATTTTGCCAGAATTACTGGAGATGGTATTTGGCTAGATTTCTCCAAGAATCAAAACCTAAAGAAAGAAATGCTAAAATGAAAGGCACCGTTGTTAAATGTATTAAAAACATGGTATGACACTAGTCAGTTGTTTAGTTCTTCTGTCACTTCTGCAGCTTTCTTACCTTTATGTGCTTTGCAAACAGTTTCAGAACTCTGCAGTCACCTTTAAATGCTGTCATTGACCTAGAAATAAAAAAAAAGAAAAATAAAATGCAAGAATCAGGGCTGAGATTAAGACCACACAGGAGGAAAACAAAACTAGCCAGGATTTCTCAACATACTTGAGACACACAGTTCCCCAGTGACCCACACTAGTATTCTGAACACTACGTATGGCCTCCCTTCACTATTTGCAGTGATAAACAACTGGACAAATACAATAGTAGATATCAGTAGGGGGCAATATTGCTTAGATAGCTTCTCAGATAACATTGAATAGTTGCAGCTTGTGCTTCCACAGCCAACAGTTCAAAACCGACTAATCATCAAATTCTAATTAAAAACTGCTCTGTTACTGACATAAAGGCATCAACGAACATGTGCATGCAGGCAAAGGAAAGAGCTGTGTATGGGTGAATATACATTTTACAAAATCTTCCTGCAGCATGGCTGCTGGGAAAACCTAGGCTGCCACATGTTTTCCTGCTCAGATTGTCCAAATTCCAGAGAATCAAAACTCATTAATCTGAAAACCTGGCTTATTCTTTTGATGCTCTCAAATGAGTATGCACTAAGAACTCCATGTTCTGTATTAGTCAAGGGGGGGGACCATATAGTCAGTATTTATGGAATGTCATTTAAGACACTTTTTTTGCATGCTTTTTGTGGTAAGCCAAGTTTTCAAACTTCTCTTGTACAAGGCTAAGGGTTTATATACAAGTATATAGACAAATCACTCAGATGGTAATATCTGCATACAGGTGCTACCCACTGCAGGCACATCTGCGACCTCAATGCTTTTAAGTGTGGCATAATCTTCCCAACTCTTGCTTGTATGTTGTACAGAAAGATAATTTTAGGAAGCAGGGTCAAGACACAGTTGACAGCCATGAAATCTCCAATGTATGTTAATTCATCAAGTCTTTTGGAATGATATAGGGGAGGAGAGAGAGGAAAAAGGAAGACATGGACACAGATATGGAGACACTCAGGCCAGACATATACGTTGTCATTTGAGGCTATGCAATGCTTTGTTTCATTCCTTTTGGTGCTATCAGCATCATGGCCCTACAGTCATGACTTTTACTGCTGATTAGGACGCTTTATGGGTTTACTTTGTTCCCACGTACAACACGTTGCATGTTCCTCCCAGATTGGTTACACTTCAGTTTTGTTTTTCAACAGAAACAGTGCTTCCATGCAACTGAACTACTAAGTGTTACTTTAGGCTAAAACCAAACACCGCACTCCCACAGTTTAAAGCAGCAAGGGATATTGCATCAGTTTCAGTCAGTAAATTTGTTGGCTAGCAGAGGACAGTGTCCCAGTTTTGCCTTTATGTCTGTGGTTCCAAGACAAAACCTCTGACTGACAGCCAACCTCAGCATAACATTTGCTATCAACATACTTAATGAGTTCCAAGGAACGAAGGGCAGAACTGCAGATAACCAGCATCACCACCGACTTCTTCTCCTCGTGGTTTTTACGGAATTTTGCCCACTTTGGACAGACTGTAATGAAAAAGGCCACATACACAGTCAGAGAAAGTACTACTTATATGCATGCCACAACTTTATATTACAAGAGTACATGATGAATGGTAGCCAGCAACAAGAACACACATGCTGACTCCTATGAGGTCTGGATCTCTGGCAACTCTTTTACATTTAGTCATGGCTGAGAAACTGGAAAATAAAACACCCAAGATAGATAAAATACAGATACACTATAATGCTGAACAAATTAGACAGCATTAAAAATAAATATTTGGTAAAGTGACATGCCCACTGTCTTCATTTGACACATATGGTATTTTGTATCAGGTAAAACCAATTGAAACATTTATCAAACCAAGAGTTCTATACGAAAGAGAACAATAATTCTCTTGGTTCAAGTAAAGAGGCAGTGGTAAAACTATTACTGTAAGATAATACATATCTACTCAAGAAGCCACAACAACAATTTATGACAAATAATCCCAAGCAATTTGAAGAAACTCTAAAACATTCAGGTCCAAAACAAGAGTTATTTTGTAAAACAAACAAACAAACAAACAAAACACCTCTCACAGAACAAGCAAGCAAACATGAAAAAAAAAAAGCCACCACCCTGGAAATTACTAATGATAATTAAAAATATTTGAGAGTGCAGATAAAAGCTGTAATTATAGCACATAAATAATGTTTTTCATACAACTTTCTTCTCATCCAGACCAACATTTTAACTTACTTTCTTTCAGGTATGAAGAAAAACTGTGGGTGAGATCATTGGCTGGCAAAAAGCTAGAATCTGAAAACACAAAGGAGAAAATATTTTTGTTGATGTATTTTTAACAACAGAAAAAAGAGCTTAAATATTTGCAGTACAGTCATTAGTTAGTTACATTGATGAAATCATATGTGTGTTAAAAATCATCATCAATAAATTACTTTTTGTGAAAAAAGACTCAAGAACACCTCATTTTACTGAGGCTTTAAATTAGATAAGTCAACAAGGGTAAAATCTTACCACCCATTTACAATTCCTCCATTTTATCCTACCATTAAACTCTGAACACAGGGCTGCCTAAGGGTGATCACATGCTTTAGAACAAGTTTCCATTTTTTTTTTTTTTTTTTACCACAATCAAGCAAAGGTTTTAGCCAAAGGTGTAAATGCAAGAACCTACCAATAAATGAGATACTGGTCACTCATCCATCAGTGAGCTGGCTTTACTTTCTGGTCTTGCATATTGTGGCAATTTACCAATAATTACTAGCCATAACAGAAGCACCTATTGCATTGTGAGTCCTGTTTTCATTTCTCATGGACTGCCTATCTTTTACCTATATTATTAGGAAGTAAATCTGAAAAGGACTGTAGATGACATGCTATCTGCCTTTAAGGTCCATTATAGGGGCAACAAAAAAAGACAATGTCCTAACTAAGGTAGTCAGGAAAGCCCTTTTCTCTAGTGCCTACAATAGAAAAAGTAGGTTCTTAAAAAGTTGATTCAAATTAGATGGCCTGAAAACTTGCCATAGCTGTTACAGGTCCTTTGCCTAATGGAACAGTACTCTCCCTCACAGCATTAAAAACCCTGTCTTCAGGGACTCACATATTTGCTGCCATTTTGCATGAAGCACTGCACTCCAGGATGCCTCTCTCTGGAATGAGATGTTTGCTGATATATTTTAACTAAATTAAAGAGGTTTCCCTACACACACTATTTACATTCATGTGGATGGCACACTGTGCTAATGCTGGCACTGTTAGTCCATGGTTTCTACCAGAACAGAGAGTGTGACAAACTTGGCTTGTAGCTGGAGCCTGTCTGTATAGTTTCTTGAGAATAGCCACTCTCCATCACTACATCCTTCATTTAATTGGTGTTGTCTTGCCAAAAACTTCTATTTTTCCCCAATCCTTTCTGTTAAATCCAGAGATTGACATTTTCTGGGGCTTCAGCTCCAAAGGGAGTTGAATGTGTACAACTGAAGCATCAACAGCTGATTTAATTTTTAAATTACGTTTAAAAGATGCTTGTGATGCTGGTGGGGAAGGGCAGAGACTGGTAGAGTACCATAAACATTTGGTGGTAAGAGGAGAACTTTAATCACCCACTATAGTCCTTTTCCCTAGTGGACAAAATACCTTAGCTGTTGTTTCACTCTTCTGAATACAGTGAGATTACTGACTAAACAATTCAGAAGGTGTTTTCTAAAGCATACGAACATCAGTTACTGACTTTTCACCAACACTCCGGCAAAACTGAGTATTAACAACTTTTATTTAAAGTTTCAGAAAGGGGGAAAAAAAAATCCACATAGCTTCAGCATGCAGCAAGAGATCATGCTGACTACAAACCCGACCTTCTGCACTGTGTCAGTTAACAAGAACACACAACTCTAAGTAGTTGCTTATTTGCTCAGTGCTTTGACGTGAATGACTTGACAGCTGTAGAAGTTTAGTGAACCGCTTGGCTTCTCAGCCTCCAACTCCCAGCACAAAAAGAAAGATTAAAAAATCCCCATCCAACCCAAAAGCCATGTGGAAATGGATCACTTCACTAACCTAAACACCTCTTTCAATAAGAAAGAAACCAAAGCAATTTATTATTTGCTAAATCTCTACATGCCTAGAAATATTTAACATAAGCTTTTGAAAGCAATCTTTATGGGACTTTTCCAGGTTTTCTTGATTCAATAAGAAAGCTGAACCTGGCCCAAAGAAATAAGGAATGGTCAACATAGACTCGTGATCCTAAAGAGAAGCATATTTATTAGAAAGCCAAGCTTAAACATTAAAAGAGAGAAAGCACTGCTGGGCTAGAAGGGTGCTAGTTTAGGGATAGGTCACCTACAGTTCAAGAACTATTAATATATGCAGATTTGTTACAAGACAGCTTGTTCTTCATATGCACTCTCAACAAATAATGGAATAGTGCCTAGAAAATGACAGTTCCTCTTCATCTCTAGAGTACGAGGCAGAGAACATTGCCTTAATCTCTAATACAATCTCAAGCTGACAGACAGAAGCTACCGCTGCTCTCTCCCGCTTTGACTTTTCTATCATTAGGTTTGAACTAGAGACAAAGTAAAGGAAACCAAGAGGGTCATAATTCATGGTTAGAACTTGTTCATTTTCAACTTGGACCAAAATTACCATCTTTTTTTCATGCCACTCCCTGAAAATCCATTGTGTTCAATATTTCATAACCATACCAGAATCATGTTTTGTTATTTCTTTGTCTACTCCTCTCAGTCTTCCTATTACACATCTGCGTAGATGCAGATAATCCCAGAAAGGAAATATATTTTCACAGTCTTTCTCAACCAGCATCATGGAACATACTAATTAGGAATGATACAATTTCTATTAGAAAAACAAGCTCCTAAAATCAATACCTTTTTGTAATAAGACATATTCTTACTCGTATTTGTTTCAAAGAAATTAACACCTCTTCTTAGCAGCAAAGTAATAAATTGTATAAACGTATATTTCAATAAAAGATTACAATCACAAGGCTTGTCCCAAAAGTCTCCTTTTTTTCCTACAGAAAAAGAACTTACTAGTGTCTGGAAAAAAGAAAAAAATAAAAATAAAAAAACCCACCCACACACACACACATCGAATATAGGACAAGTTACCTGGCAGTTTTAATTCCTCTATTTCAATCACTGAACATTTTGTACCAAAATGTTGACTAAGCAGATTCTGTAGATCCTCAGGGACACCAGGTTTTGGAGGAGACTTTTCCAGAACATCAGAAATTTTCTTCTAAAACGACAAATAATTGTGTAAGTATGTTATTTATATCATATCTGCTCTTAACATAGATAACAACGTTGTAAATAAACATTCTTCCACAACTTCATACAGTGAATTACATTATCAAAAGCCTGATTAGAAAAAGGTCTTCTAACAGGACATGATTCCCATTGTCTTTAGTGGTAACACAGACTTCAGGATCAAGCTCAGACACAATGGCCTGTGACCCTGAAGACAGAAAGTCTTGTTCACTTACCTAAAATGTCGCTGTAACAAAAACAGAACTGAAAGGAACTTTTATGGGCTTTGCTGCTGTAGCAGTTCGAAAATTGAGTTTTCTCATCATTTGATTTAATTTATTCTTCTTAAAGCATCAATCACAGGAATCAAATGATACCGTAAGACAGCTGTATTTTAAGTTGAACAAGGGTAACTATCCATCTCTTTGGGAAGAGAAGATGGTTAACTAGATTCATAATATACATTATCACAAAACCCATAATAAAAATGAGTTTAAAGCTCACCAAACCAGAAATCAAGCAGAAAGAGTTCAGCAGCTATTTTACTCTTCCAAAACGCCTAATTTTTCAAACCTAACTAGTATTTTGAGCTTGGAGAAGAGTTCATAATAATTATGTTTTATGCCCTAGAATGTTAGCAAGTAACAGGTTTGAATTTTCACTGAAACTGTTATCATTTTTTTTCACATAATTAAAGTGGATGATTGAGGGAGAACAGCCCCGGATGCCCATTATCTGAATGATATGCCAGCATTTAAGAATACAGCAGATTTTCAAGGATAGAGACATTCTGGAGAGAACAGCATGGATCTGAAGCCTTCCTTATTCTCACTGAGAAATAAGTCATTTGTGAAAGGGCAGCTTGCAGTTTCTCAGCTGCACAAGCTAAACTGAACTTAAATACAGATGAACTGTCATACAGATGAGTGGCAGTATAAGCCTGGAAGTGAAGAGCAGAAAGACAGCATTGTTACAACAGAGCATCTGTGAGGAAAAGTGATCCTGCAGAGAGACAAAGTGGACCTGGAACAGCTTTTAGCAGCTGCAGAGGGGTGGTGGGTCACTGCAGGGCTTATATGTTCCTCCAGGTCAACCATCAGTGTGGCTCAAAGCCCTCTACAGTCACTGGAAGACTCTCCAGTGGACTTCCAGCTGGTTGGCTTCCGTAGTTCCTGAAACTGCAATATTCCTTCTCAAGCTTCACCACCATTTGACACTCACATTTTTCTGCCTTGCAAAAATTGCCTTTCCCAAGCATGGCCACAGGCCACCTACACAACACACAGCTATCGCATGAGGTCCACAGATGAACTCCTTCTTTGTTATTCCTAACAAATATAAAAAGCAGGGCCCTAAGGAGAAATGCTCTTCTCCAGTTCCAGCTTCTTCAGTGACCTGCATTTGGGAATCATCGGTTTAGCAGACAATAACACAGAAGTTTTGGGCTCATTTCATTTGGTAACTCAGTGTAAGCTGTCATTCCTCAGGACCATTATGTCATTCACTGGGCCACTTGATTCCTCCAAAAAAATTATGGCACTCTTGAGAGGAGAAGCCCGATACTAATGAGAAAGTCCATAAGAGTAAGGACACCTGAACAAACTCTCTTCTTTTGAGGAGAGCAATGGGGAAATGGCCCTAACACAGGAAGTTTTACTATTTTTCTTCCAATTTGTTCCAGATGCTTAAAAGCAAAGGTGTTTTTTTGTGTTTTTCTTTTTTTCTTTCTTTTTTGTTGTTTGTTTGTTTCCCCACTCCCCTCCTTCTATTTGGTGAGAAGAGTTTGCTTGGAAACAATGGATCAATCTGACAAATATTTCCTGATGCATTTGCTAACAGGTTGTGTACATCATTTCAGAGGCCTAGCCTCAGAGAATCAGATATAAGCAAATGCTTGTTGTTTGCCTAGGAACGGGGTCTTTTTCCTAGGGCTGGTGCACCATTCTCTGCTGTGGAATGCTTTCACTCGGCAGAAGTGGATCCAGCTCCATGGTCACTTCTGCCAGAGCTGCTTTTAAAGCTAAATTCAACTCTACCCATTCACCGGCTGATTAAGAGTCCTGACATAACACAAAAAAGCCACCTCTGCCTTGTGAGGGAGCCAAGTACTTAACACAGGCTGTCCCAAAAGACAATTAACTTGCCTAGTGCCATATTATTTCCATCTAGCCAGCAGACTGTGTTTGTTGTTGAGTGAGGATGGAGCGCAGCCAGACGGTCAGCCCAGAGTATTTATTTATATACTTATGCCAGGAGAAGAGGGAACAAGGGCAGTTCTTGGTGCAAAGGATGCTGGAGCCTGTTCACACAGCTGAATCAGGGCAGATTTTGCAGAAACTGAATTGCCATCTTTCTTTGATAGTTTCATTTTCCTGGTGTACCACACCTGCAAGGTGGGTATAAATAACACACAACCCTTCAGAGGAGCGTAGGCATAATTCTGCAGTTCAGTTCATGTAATGAATGGATAATTTGAGTCAAGTCATAGGAGTGGGAATTTTTATTCTTCTCTAAAATAAAGGCTGCAACACTATATACCTTCACACAGCAACAAGGTTGACCCAATTTGGAATCCCACAACAGCAGGCACACCCACTGCCCAGTCCCTAGGTACACATTAGGGCTTTCATACCTTCTTTCGCTTCTTTGCTTTTAAAGTGCTCCCTGGTGTTTCTTCAGGCTGACTTAGAAAACACTCTGTAGGCTGCAAAACACATTTTAAAAAGAAATAAAAAAGAAAGTTTAAGTATTAGATATCTGATCACCTGGGGAAAAAAAAACAAAAAACATCACCACAGGGAGGCAAGAGAAAATACAGGAATGCTAGGTAAGGGAAAAAAACAAAACCAAACCTTCCTATCTGTAGAAAGGTTCAATTTTTTACAGTGCCCTGTATCTGGAGTAATTTTGGAATTGAGATTTATGTTGTTGTAACCAAGAGAAGAATAAAAGAACAGAACGCTGAAACACACAGGTTGTAGACATGCTTCCCGAAGATGGTGAAAAGCAGCTTTGATAAATTCGAAAGAAAAAAGGAAAACATGAAGGAAGTATTTCAACAACCATATACTTTTAA